GTGCTACAATAAACGCCTACGGGCGTAGTGCTACAATAAACGCCCACGGCCCAGGTTAAATTTAGTCCGATCTGATGATCACGGATGTCCGATAGTGTTTGAATTTTAAGTTTTTTGAACAAATCCAAATCGCTTGAAATTTGAAGTGTGTATTTTTCAAAAATAGGTGAATCTACAAAAAACATTAAAAAAATATTTTACATGAAATAAATTGATCAAAATACCCTCAAAAAATTTTGGGAGTATTTTGGTCATTTTTTTTACGAATTATTTTGTATTTTTATTAGATGCGCCTTGATGAGAAGAACACACACCTAAAATTTCAAGTGATTTGGATTTGTAAAAAAAAAATTAAATTTAAATACGAAATGAGGTCGTGACCATCAAATCAGCCTATATTCAATCAGGGTGTTTACTGTAGTGGTTAGCGAGTGGGCATACAGAATCCACTCCAACACACACACGCGTGCGCACATACACACACATGTACGTGTGCACATACACACACAGATACAGACACACAAAAAAAAACAAAAAATAATATATATATATATATATATATATATGCAAGATATTAAAAAAATGCCTATAGGCGAAAATGAACAGTGATTTTGCCTACTTTCATCACCGTCCAAATTTCATCGCACCGTCATGATTGTTTGATAGTATTTCATTTTTCATTTCCTTTTTACCAATTGGAATGATCTGAAATTTGGAGCATGTATTCATAAGAAATAGGCGAATCTACTAAAATATCAAAAAAAATATTTTACATAAAATAAATTGACCAAAATACTCTCGAAAAAGTTTTAGGGGTATTTTGGTCAATTTTATTTTCATAAATTATTATTTTTATATATTTTTATTAGGTACTCCTCACTAAGATGTACACACACTCTAAATTTCATATCATTCCGATTCGTAGAAAAAAAAATGAAAAATAAAACACTACCGGATAATCGTGATTGTGTAATGAACTTTAGACAGTGATGAGAGTTAGCGAAATAACTGTTTATTTTCACCTATAGGCATTGGGAAGAATATATATATATATATATATATATATATATCATCATCATCATCATCATCATCATCATAATAGTCTTTTTCTAACTATTTGGGGTCGACTATGGTAGATTCAAGATTCATAAAAGGTTTTGGTAAAGTTTTACATTTGATGCCTACTTAACACAACCTGCCTCCTTTACTTGAGCTTGGAATGGGTTAAGGGAAAGTTTAAAGTCTTAACATTTCTTATTTAAAGTTAATACCATCTTAAAATACAAACATTAATATTAAGATAGGTTGTCATGAGTGTATTTATCAAAAAATGATTATTTTTATTTAAAAATTATTTTAATATATAACTTAATCATGAAGTAAGAGCAAATTTTCATATTTTTACATAAATATAATGATATTTTGAAAGATAGTGTCCTGAAACTTTATTTATAAAAATATCTTTATCTTTTAATGAAAATTTGAATTTTACTCTTTATGAAGATGACAAAAGTATCTATTGTCTTTAAACACCCTTACTTGATGAGAAAGATATAACAAAAAATACATATTTTTTTAAAAGAAAACTACGTAGTAAAATGTGTGGTTTGTATGAAAGCTAAAGCCCTAAACAATCAAAGTAAAGCATGCCTTCAAACAATGCCAAAATATGTTGTTTCAATATCATAAATCTTTATGATGGCCTAAAAATTTATTTTCATCTCTAACTATAAAATTTAAAAATTAAAATAGTGTGAATCTGGTAGATATATGGATACATTACAAGATGCATTATTTCCATGAATTGAAATCTATTTATTATGTCTATACATCTTGAATTCGAGATGATGGAATTGAGGGTTTTTCAACAGCGAAACCACCACTTCTAGTAATTTGAATTTTTAGGGCCTCACGCTTATATAAAATTTTTTCCATAGTAAAGCCACCATTTACAACTCATTCAAATATATTTGGAAGGATTGTGAATTGTAGATTATCCTATACATATATTTTTTAGTACATAAGAACATGATTTCAGTTGAAATTAGGATCCGCAAAATATTTAGCTGATGGTGAAATCACAATTTGAATTGGCTTCTAATAGACAACCAATCATGCTGGTTGAAATTAGTAATTGGGCCTGGTTCTGAACCAATTATGGTGGCTCCTGTGAGTTATGCTACTTGGGATTAGTTATCTTGATTATGATTGGTTATGATTATGCCTATTGGATTCTGAAGGTGAATAATTTATAGTGGCTTCAATCAATTGTTATTAATAGGGATAACTAGTGGGGATTAGTTATAGTTATGCTAAGTAGGTTTTGATAGATAATCAAATTATGGTGCGTTGATCAGTTATGCTAGTTAGAAAGTCATGTTGATTGAGATGCAGTATAATAGTTGAATGGGTTCTGATAGAGAATCATGATGCCTTTGATTAGTTATGTCGACCAATTATACTAGTTCGTATCAATTATGCTGAATTATATGATTTAACTTCCAGGTGTTCAATGTATGCTTTGAAAGTCTAGGACTATAAGAAATTATATTTTTAGGGTTTGATTTATATAAGGTTGCAATTTTAATAAAGTTACAATGTTTTACACCGTCTATTTTCTTTAATAAGGTTGCAATGTTTTACATCGTCTATTTTAGTTGGACGGTGTAGAATTGACGTGTCTTTTTAGATAATGTCAAAAAATAACGTGTCTTTTTAAATTAATATCAAATATACACATCTAAAAAAAATAGACGGTGTAGATTACTGCAATTTTACTTCTACAAGCAACCTTATATTAACTTTTTCTACATTAATATCCATAGAGCAATTGAGGAAGAAAATTAGTTCTTTTTTATAACATCGAGCAAGAAAATCAGTTAACGATGTCGCCATGTTTACAAGAGCACATTGTTATGGGTGTGGGCTTTCAAGAAAGAAAAAAAAACATATTTACCAATAAAGAAAACAAATAATTGAAACGCAATATGGAGCAAAACTTCAACAGTTTTATCTGAACCATCCATCTTGTTGGTTACTTATGATTAAAAATCTCATTTATTAATCAAATATTAGCATCACAAAGATAGATTGGTCAATAAACATTTAGTTGCTTGTTTCTGGAATCTAAGTCCCAAGTTCAATCAACAAATGGATATTGCATTCCTAACAAATCTACAAACAAGGGTTTTACTATTGCAAGGTCTTCACAAATCTAGGTTTTTAAGACTCAATTTATTCATAGGTGTTCTGATAATCAGAATCGAAACTGAAAGCAATGATTATATCTCTAGTCATTCGTAATCTTGGTGTGTTCATCTGCAATGGTATATGCACAATGGAGCATATGCATACATATCGCTATATGCGTACGTGTGTGTATGTATGTGCATGTAAATAAAAATAAATATTGCATGTAAACATAGGGCTATTACGTCCACATATACGTGCTTGCGTGTTAGGAACCGTGCACATACGTGTGTGCAGAATCCAATCAAAAGTATTCAGCATTTCACTGTTTGAAAGCAAAGAAAAAGTCTCCCTAATCTCAAGAAGGTCAACATCTCCTTTTACATGATTTTCATAATAATTCAAGAAAAAGCTACAAGATCACAATCTTCTTTAACTGTTAAATGTTAAATTAGATTATTAGAGTTGTGCCATTGACCATACTTAAAGTCCAATAAAATTCTTCTCAAATTTTATAAAGAAAAATGACACCTCTAACTGCACAATTTCACATTTAATAGCTTACTAAAGGTAAATATTCTCATTATATAGTATCCAAACATCATATACACCTACATTCCTTCCAAGCTTATTTCTGAACGTCATGTAAGATAAGCATCAACAGGGATCTGAAGCCCACATAAAAACAACCTCCACATGGTGCTCTAGCTGTTGACACAATTTACAACATAGTTACCGCGTTAAGAGAGATTTTGACTGCTGTTTTCTCACTAAGCTATCGAATGAAAGGCAAATAGCATCCCCATTCACCAAGCTTTAGATTAGTGATCAGGTCAAATTTGGTGGCCAAGCAACAAACAAATGGTACCTAACAGATCAGAAGAGGAGAATAACCAAAACGACCAAATCTCGGGTCTTCATTTCATCATTGTGATCCCTCCATGATACAAGAACCAGACGGATACAACGCTATTATTACCACTACATATCTACAAGAATAAGTTGGAAGCAATCTCTACCGCTTCCTCAAAATCGTACATTTATGATTACATACAAATGCTCTTGACTAACAAGAAATGTTTGGCCTCGTTGTATATCGGCCACATAAAGCTAAATTGGCAGTTAAAATCGTGTAAGATACGATGGGTTACTCTCTATTGGATCAGAAGATCAGCTAATGTAACAGTTCTGTCTCGTGGAATCTGTCATAGATTTCAGTCTTGATAATTTAGACAGAAATAGCACACCCTAACTCTTTGGCAGCAGCAGAAAGAAATGTGAGGGTCATGCCAGTCGCTCTCCTATTACGAGCTTCCCATGCCAAGCATTTCTCTAAGTCCGAGCGCCAATCGATGGTGCCTATGCTTATGTTTCGATATGGGGGTACAGGGATTCCCCTAATGTCTTCTTCTGCAAAGTTGGACTTTGGTGAACCAATGTTAAGAATGTCTCGAAGAAGTGAAGTGCTAAGGGCACGAACATGGGCACTTGGATGAGACAAGCAATGGATGGTGGCAGGTAGACGACACTGCATAAATGGAGAGCAAAGGAAAACTTACATTTGCCGTAACTGCCAAAATGATAGTTGGAGATAAATATAGACCACCATTGATTGGTTTCATTTATTTTATTATCAATTGGAATAGTGTATATGATCCATATGACTGGCAACAGTATGGTCACGAAGGTCATCACCATCCCAGTCATTAGGTTGGACATTGATGAAAGGAGAGTGCCACTCTCGCTCCATCACCATCCAATCTATCGATAGGACGTGATGACTCTTGTGAACAGATGGTTTCAATGATTATTTGGATCATATTGCACCTTACTAAATCTTGGAAAAATTATATTGCGGTGCCTGAGACACCTATCCATGAATTACAATCACCATGGAAGTTTGAGATTATGAGGAAATGCCTGGATGGCTGAGAATTATTCAACCACTCCACCCTCTGTTGAATTTTGAAGAACATACCATTTTTTTTCTTTTTTCAAAAAAAAAGGTTGTCCAGAACATAACCACTAACTGAAACCACTTATTCTAAGTGCAAATAGAGTAAATGCATTAAACACAAAGTTTAACTTTCTACCCTATCTAACTTGATATTTGAGGATTTGGACTGTATTTTCTCTTTGAAGAAGACGCAGCCTGCTATTTTAAATACTGAACAGGGAAGATGATAAATGGTACAAACAAGTTTGAAATGTTGAAGCACATGCATGTAATTATGAAATTCAGGGGCAATTGCTTATCATATGTTGGTGTATTAGACACTATCATCACAGTCTTCCTTATCTTTTTAACAGTTCATAGAGAATTTGAAAGTGTAATCCGTAGTTACCTTCAATAGGTTTGAAAGGCCATCTGCAACAGAGGAACCAGACTCCCCCCAACTAAGGAAAAGTTGCACGGCTCTGGCTGTCGCTTCTAGGAGCTGCTCATTTTTGTATAAACATTTTCTCAGACATAACAGTCATAAAATTTGTAGTCAGTAGAGTATCTAACTGTAGAAGTCGATCATAATAGATTTTGAAAATTAAATGTGACTTAAAAAGCATTTAATTGAGGTAAATGACCAGCATCTTTAACTACAATAAGCCAGTAGTCACAAGAACTCAGAATAACTTAGTTTACTTAAAGGGGCAGGGGTCTGTATCAAAACTCTACATTGTCCTTCAAAATGTTAAATTATGGATCTAGATCTCATCAAGAAGGTATATGACTTCCTAGGTCCAAGTAGCTTCGCCAATCAAGGGGTTGGCTCAGATGAAACTGAGTGCATCCAAAACCGGGGTGAGTAATTATTAAAGATGGTACTCAGGCAAGTATCATGAGTTATGACTCACTCATCAAGCAGCCTAAGAAGGACTTTAAGAAAGATTTCTCTGAGTATAATGTCTACGAGCATGGGTGCGTGCACGGGTGCACATATATACATAAGTGTAATCAATGTGCACATACGCACATGTACGTAAGTATACCTGAGCACGAAAGAGAGGTGACCAATTAATTGAGTTGACCTTCCATGTTTTAGAACCTATTTTTAAATTAGTTCGTGATATTTGCCAACAGTGAATCAAATCAGAGACCTGGATTTATAGAACAAGAACAATGTTTAAACTTGGAATAACCAAACCCTGAGGCTGCCTATCCATAAAAAAGACAAAGGACTTGCATAGAAATAGATGCAAATGTGCTACTCTTTATCATCTTACCTCTAGCTGTGGTAACGTGCAGGCTTCTCCATCAACAAGCATACCATCAGTAGCACGAAGAAGAAGATCGGAAGCACTGGCTAAAATCATCAATGCTTCCGGAGCATCATGATTTCGCAAGAGCTCTGCCACCAAATGGACTATACGTTGGTTGATTCTCCACATCTCATGTCCTTGGCCATCATCTCTAGCAATCCAGGGCTGCAAATCCCTTTCCGCCTGGTCAAAAACACAATCAGGCATAAAAGTTTCCTTTGAAGTTTGAAACAAGAAACAAGAAAGAAATAATAATAATAAATACTACTCAAGATTCCTTTGGGCATTCACTCATTGAAGTTGTTAAATAGGGTGTAAACTTCAAAAGTATTCATTGCACCTGAAGAACTACAGCAGTTGATGCTTTCGCTGGTGATGCCACGACAACATTGCATAAAGCATCGGCAACCTAGAGATGACATTCAATAATCAGTCCTCATAAGATTTTCAGGGAAATAAGGACAAGTTACAAAGAATATGGAGAATTTCATGAAAGAAAAGTTTACATCCATTGAACAATTTAAGTTTACTGTTTTGCTCTGAGGTGAGTTACAATGAAGAATCTTCAGAAACATGTCTCATTAGCCACAAGTTACCAAGCACATAATACCATCTGTAATATAAAAACCAATTTATACAAATGTCACTCAAATTCATGTAAGGGCATCCCTAAGCCACTCCTGCTTGCAAATCTTTTGTAAAGTTTATCCACGGATAAAGGTGATACAACACATCAAGAGTAGTGACTGAAGGCCATACGCTGCATCAAGAATGTTAATATTCATAAGAACCTGTTTTATTTTCATAAATATAGGAAATCAGGGAATACAACATATGAATCGCATATTCATACTTATACTGGGCAAAAAATCAGCACAATGGTAACTGACGCAATGTTCTTGATCGAGTGTCAACTGTATGGGTTCTTATGATGGGAACTGAAACTTACACATATTCAAAAAAACTTTTTGCCAATTGAAACATTAATTATGATGTTATGAATTTGTTTTTCATAATAAGACGTCTATTCTTACTACTTCGACCTGGTCACGATCAGAATGACAATAAACTTCAATAAATACAGTTGTTACTACAAACAACTTGATCGGATTGTAGAATTGCACTTTGTTTAAACTATTTTCATGGTGAGCAATACTAGAATCAGTCTTGAAGAAGTCTCTCTGAGGAAGACAAAAGGATTATAGGCTTCCCATTCCGTTGGAATTTGTCTTCACCCTCATAGTACAGCACCATGCATAAAGAACCAAACCACATTGTAGGCTACAAAAAATATATCCCAAATGATAAATACTATATCTCTTGTCAAAATGATAAATACTACCTCCAACAACCACATTGAGGTATTTACCCAAAAAAAAAAAACCACATGAGGTACATGTTATGCATTTTAGATGATAAGAAGTGGCGTCCATCCCTAAACAGTGACTTCGTTGAGATATCTGCTGACTGTAGCTGTGATGTAAAAGAAAAGGATAGTTTCGTGCCCTACATGTTTGTGAAATGATAACCAACTTCAATATGTTTTGAATAAACCTCGGTTAGAAGAAACATGATGTCCAACTACACTAACCACGTTTAAATAGAATGGAATTGAAGCAAGATTTGTAACGACACCAATATCGACTGGAAACCAAAAGGTCTTGAATTATATGCATGAAGAAATAGAAGTTTGAGTTTGAGTCTTGGCAATTGCCTCCATCACCATTCTTTAATAGCTTCAGTTTTACTTATATGCAATATCACAAGAGCACACGAGTCCAGTGGCACTTTAATAATATGTAAAAGTTTGATAAAAGTGCATATAGACAATGAACCTTGCAATAAACTCTAATTTATCCAACAAAAAAAGAAAAAGGAAAAAAAAAAGAATAAGAGAAAAATTGATCGGAAAGAGGTGTTACCTGCCTCCAACCTTGTTGGGCAGATGTGCTTTCTATGATCATTTGTGTTTCAGGGGTTGCAATCAACTTATGCCACAACAAAGACACAACAGCAAAACATAGCTCTTGCTTCTCAGCAAGAAATGATCTTAAAAGGCTCTGCGCATTACAATTAATGCCTAAATATCTATCCATGGTGAGAAAATTAGCAAGGTCTGATGCATCCACAGTCACACCAGCAATACTCTTCCCCGAGCCACTGAGCATGACATCTGTTAAGAAGTTTGCTTTTTCACTTTTTAGGAATTCTTCCGACTCTTTAGTACTTTCAGTCTTCTCATGTGGTATGTTATCCTCTTCAAAGCTTGATGATTTAATATGCTTTCTACCTTTAAAGGATATAGGAGCATCATTCCTATCTGAGGCATGCACTATATTTGCTTCAAGTGGTTCGGCCTTGTCTACAATGGAGGCAACAGCTTTGCCGTGGATGTCGATAAGGTGATAGAGCGAAGAGGCCCTAGTGTGAATTTCATTATCCCATTTGCACTTCATTAAAACAGAAAGAGCATGCGTACAAGCCTTTGATCTCCCAAATAATTCTGAAATATGAGCAGCCACCATGGCAGCAGCAACGATCTCATTTGAACCATAATGCCACGATGTGCCCACTGATGATGGCTTCAATGAAAATAAGGCCTCTAGAATTCCTAATAGCCTATGGGTATGAGAAATTGCAGAGCATATACCATTTTGTAATTGATTAGGACCTCCATTAATATTTGCAGCCGGAGCGCTGGTTAAAGAATTTTTTGAGTCTGAGCATTTAATAGTCTGTGAAATTAAAGGAAACAATTGAAGCTCACAAGCTAGAGCACAAACGGCTGCTAATACATAAGAATCAAATGCAGCAACTGGGCCTTGCTTTTTGATAGTTTTGTTCCTCCCAATTGTTCGTTTGGCATTTAGCGCTATCTGTTTCTCTTCTGGGCCTTCATCCGAGGGACCAATCTCACCACCTGTGGGTTTTTTGCTCCCTTCTGGTAAAGCTTCATGGCTCACACAAACTGTAATCACAATAAATAGAAGCCGAGATGCAAGGTCCATAGAAGCACAAGATTCAATAAACAGTGAGTGTACCATTGTGCGAAGCTCTGCAACTGCCAAGTTTTTAGAGGCAGAGCCGATACCCCCATGAGGGTGTCTAGGCCTTCTGGTTTGTTCTTTCGAGGATTCAGGTGGAAATGTTCTTCGAAGAACCGCTTCAACTGTAGCTACAAATATCCTCATCAGGCAAGCTTCAGATGGGCTACCTCGAGGAAGATATTCTAACACCTTTAGGAGAGGTAGGTAGAGATTCCATGATAAAACAGGCGGTTGGAGTGGAGTAGCAACTACTATTTCAGGAAGATCGACAGTTGATGAACTTAAAGGGAGCAAACCATAAGCAGCTTCCCATATGGTGCAAATCCGCCATTCAACCTCAGGGCCATGGGCACATAATAGTGAGGCAACCCCTTGTGCTGTAGCCTCAATAGTAGCTTCAGCAGCAGTGACTTCAACCTGGTTGTTTCATATGATCAGATGAAGACTGATAATCATCAATTTAAGATACGAAAAATTGGTTTTTTTCCATAATGGATCTTGTTATTTAGGATTCTACCACCCTTACAAATGCATTTACTATTCTCAATTTAAATTGGCATAGGTTAACCAGAAAAGCAGACCTTATCTAGCAGCCCATACGAAGAACAATATGGCGAAAAGTTGGAAACTAGACAGGAGAAAATACCTATAGAGAAGGATAGTTGAAAAGTAAAGAAAATACTCTCTGCACATCCTTTTACCCATCTCTCTCTCTCTCTCTC